ACCACCGAGCAGCTCCGCAAGGAGATCAAGGAGAAGATCATCAAGGCCACCATTCCCGCCAAGTACATTGACGAGAACACCATCTACCATGTAAGTTGTCGCATAGACCTCCACTATATTCCTGAGCGCCTGCTGATTTGCCACAGATCCAACCCTCAGGCCTCTTCATCATCGGTGGTCCCCAGGGTGATGCCGGTCTCACTGGCCGCAAGATCATCGTCGACACCTACGGTGGCTGGGGTGCCCACGGTGGTGGTGCCTTCTCCGGCAAGGACTTTTCCAAGGTCGATCGCTCCGCTGCCTACGTCGGCCGCTGGATCGCCAAGTCCCTCGTTGCCGCCGGCCTCTGCCGTCGTGCCCTTGTCCAGCTCTCGTACGCCATCGGTGTCGCTGAACCCCTTTCCATCTACGTCGACACCTACGGCACCTCCGAGAGGGACTCCGATGAGCTCGTCAAGATCATCCGCAACAACTTCGACCTCCGCCCCGGTGTCATCGTCAAGGAGCTTGACCTCGCCAAGCCCATCTACCTCCAGACCGCCAAGAACGGCCACTTCGGCACTAACCAGAGCTTCACCTGGGAGAAGCCCAAGGCCCTCAAGTTCTAAGCGGAGACCATGTCTTGCTGAGAGAGACTGGCGGACACATGTACACCGCGAGAGATTCAACTTCTCCTCGCTGGTGGTGTCCCCAACTCGTGCTCACAGATCTGTCTCTTGTTTCTGATTTCGTTTTCTTTTGTCAGATCTGTTTCACGCATTTTTGATTACATGGGCAGGGTAAATTACAGGCGTACGGTTCTCAACAAACCAGGTTCAGGGAAGGCATATATCCACTCACGCGTTCAACGTTTATTTTCAGCGACGCAACGGTCGAATCTTTGCTCTTCTCAAGGGAGCCACACACACAATTCAAACAACACGGAAAAGTCATTGACTCTTTTACGACATAGAGTTTAGGGAGGTTCTCGCGGGTCTGGATTTATGATCTACGGAAGGGAAGGACACACGCGGGGAAATGGGGGACGGCGTCTTTCAACAAAGACGCAAGCATAATGGGTCCAAGGCCTCTTACAAGAGTTGCATTCTGTTTTCTGGCGATACCCCGAGGGGCAGAGCATTTGACACACCTTTCGAGCATCGGCGTTTTTAGAGCGGGGAAAACAAAAAAAGAACTTCAACATCTTTTTCTTTTTCCCCAACATTAGTCTAGGCCGCTGATCACATGGACTCTGAGGGCCGGACTCTGGAAGATGGGGGGAGAAAGAGGGAGCAGTAGTCCACCGCGAGGTTGGCCGTCTGCTCTCCTTATAGAGGGGGATGATAATGGTTAGCGAGGAGTGTCGTTTGGACACTGGATGAGGCTTACATAGCTGAATCAAGGCCACATTTGTGGATGACACAATTTCGCGTTCCCGTACTGTGGAAGCTCGAGTCTGCTGTGACGCTTATCCTGTGGCTGTCTACCCATAAGGTCTTGGATGCCCATACAGGAGACCGACGGAATGGACACAAAGCCGGGCTTGTTTGGTCTCCCGCGAGACACAATGCTCTTGTTGTCGATCAAGGGAACCGCTTCGACCTGACAGTGGGTCATGCAAGACCATTACAAGGGCCTCATGTCCTTTCGTCTGTCTCGAAGAAATAATGCTCTTGTTGTAGAACAAGGAAACGGCTTCTCCCTTGCAAAAGGCCTTGCAAGCTTAGCATAATGGCTTCCACAGCTCCTTTGCCCTCCCGGATATTAACAAAGGCATTGCACCAAAAGACCAGCAACAGTGTCATTGTCCCTTGTCTCGACCACCAGTAGAGTGTTGCTGCCCATCTCCTATATCAACCTCCCGCGCTCCCGTTCTAAGCTCACTTTTCTTTCCTCGCCAACCAGCACACTCGCACACAGATACCCACACTCACAAAACTACCACGAACAACCTGCACTTGCCGACCTCACGACCTCACCCAACAACCACAGCGCTTCACCCACAACTCCACCCCTAACCCAACCCACCAAAATGGTCTTCCAAACCCGCAAGCGCAAGTATCAAGACGACGACGGCAATGCCCTCCCCCAGCCCCCTCCGCCCGTCGTCGAGCCCAAGCCCAAGAAACAGAAGAAAGAGAAGTCTACTCCTACTCACCCCTCCTCCTGCACCTGCGGCTCCTGCCCTGGCTATGTCCCTCCCCCGGACGCCGCGCACCTCGACCTCGACCCCGCTCCCATCACTGACACCCGGGACGACCTCTACCGCCCCGAGCACGCCAGCAAGATCCGTAGGCCTCACATCAAGAACACTTCTCGGGTGGTAGCGTCCAACACCATGCCTACGCCTAGCCTTACTCCCTCTCCCAAGCCCATGGCCGGTGGTGGTGGTGGTGGTGGTGTTACAGTCACGACAGAAGGCGGTCAGGAGGTAACCCTCAAGCCGGGACGTAAGTGGGAGGTCTTCTTCGGCCGGGAGATCCCGCCCTCCGCCTCTTCTCATGCCTCTTCTGGGGGGGAGGTGACGGACGCGCAGCTCGCGCACTTCCTGGATACCGAGGTGACGGCTAGGTTCCCGCAGGGCGTGACGTACGCGGGCGCGACGGGGCAGTGGATGAGGATGAACAACAGCGAGGGTGGCGGGGAGGTGATTAAAGAGGGCACGACGGTCGTGTTTCTGGTGGAGTTTGATGGGGAGGGGGGGAAAGTGGAGGAGTTTAGGAGGCTGGTGGTTGATGCTGCTAGGGCTTATAAGGGGATGTTTGGGCAGGATGCTGTGCTTGTTTGCGAGGTTGGGTGTTTGATGGAGTTTGTTTAAGGGGGAAGAAAGGTAAGTCGAGGGGAGATGAGAGAGAGGTAAGTCGAGGGGAAGGGAAGAGATGGAGGGGGGGGAGATCTGGTCTCTTTCTATACTTGCTGGGAAGGTAAGTAACGAGAATGAGAACGTGAGTACCATTTGGTTATGAAGAGCGGACAGGTAAGTCTCTAGATTGCTAACAGAATGACATACCTTTGGATATCGCAGAAATGCCATCCACAGTACCTTGTGAGACTGCAGAAGCTAGAACAGTTAGCGAGCGATACACGTGTGAACAGAATAGTCTCGAGTGCCGGGAAACGACTGTCATTGTCATCTTAACTAGTATTTACCACAAAGTCTCCAGCATATATATACACCCGTTCCAATCCCCATCAGTCCTGAGTATCCTCCTCTTGACCCCTGTAACCCCATCCAAGGCCTCGCACACTATCCTCACCCACTCAGCCATATCTATCAAACCTCACGGAGCAGCACCCCCCTGCACAACCCCCGTAGGCGTATACGTCGCCCCCTCCCAGATATAGCTCCCGCCCATATCCAACAGCCACGTCAGCGCGTTAAACTCGGTATCGATGAGCTTAATCTGCCAATCCTCCGCCTTCTTCGTCAGCTCGAGCACCGTGATGCCCTTGCTCGGCTTCATCGCCTCCCCAAAAGTAGCATGCCAGCGCAGCGTGATGAAAGTGCAGTCCACGGCGTCGATGCTGTCGACCACCAGAGGAAAAGGGGGGTTGAGGGCCTGCGCGTCCATGAAGATCTTCTTGGTCGCGAAGGTCGGGCCGCCCAGGGGCTGGTTGAGGAAGGTGTTGATGCTGTCCGAGTAGTCGGCGAAGTCGTCGCTGCAGTACCGCGCTGCGAGGGCGTCGGTGTAGTTCGCGATGAGCTGCTGGTAGATGCCGACTAGGTTTGTCGCTTCGGGCTTGGTGAGGCAGGCGGTTGAGGCTTGTCTCTCCGATATGGTTGGGGAAGGGAGGGCCAGGGTAGAGCTGGCGAGGCCTACTACCGCGGCCAGGAGGGTTTGGAAGAGCATCTTGACTGGTAGGTGAGAGTCGGTGCTTGTTAGTGCCCGTTGCGGCGATGGAGATAAGGAGCTTGAGATGTCTCCTGGATTCGAGGTCCTCCGTCCATCTTATAAGTGAGTTCCTTCGCTACTCAGCCCCAATGACAAACTTCCCATCGAGACCGACACAGTAGTGGTTTTGCCGCTTCTCCATCTCGCGTGAAGCAATTCCAGGTTCTCATATTGTCCACGCATTTATCCAGCGAAGTCCGGGCTTGGGTTAATCAACCACACCGGACGTCCGACAGAGCATTTGAACAACATTGATAATTCGGTTCCGACCAGAACACGCATCTGACAATCCCATTGCATGGCTCGTATTTACAAGTTGTCAGCTATCTAGCCACCCATCGTCTTCGCGATGTCGTCGGGACTAACTGACGCGGCCGGGACTTTAGGCGGCTCGGAACCGAGCACTGCCAATTATACAATTTGATCCTGCACGTTAGATGGGAATAGGAGAGTGCTGATATTGATCATTCCCCGGAAGTTGCCCACGGACCAAGCTGTTGGATGTGTGTGTGTATAATTAGCTTCAGTTGACTGGAACGGGATCGAACTTCCCACACCACACCGGTAAGCACGCATCGGCTATCTCTGGCGAGAGCTGTTGCAACTTGGAAGCCGGGTCTTGGAAAGGGGTATCGCTGTCAGGGGTAATATACACCGGAGGTTTTGGGGTCGATCGGACGCGAAGTCTTGCTCCTCGGTGTCGGTTGGGGGCCGAGGCGGTGATACCAAGTCGAGCTTGACATGGAGCTTCCAGTCTTCTTCCATCAGTCGAAGAATCGGACACGTCTGTTACTCGTCTGACTACTGCCGTAAGATCGAGGAAGAAGCCTTCATTCCCTGACAGGCGGGACGATATACGCACGTCCAGGCGAGTCTCTAGGTCCGACTCACCTTACACGGCTCTGGACAAGGGACAATCTCAACACAACGACATAGCGCATCACCAAGCGCCAGATCGATAGCATGAGCGACAAGTGCAAACAAAAGAGAAACGACTGCAGACCTGGCCGGCGCCAGAAACAAACTGTGAACCTACCCTGTGCTTCCGAGCAAATGACCTACTAACACCGGCAACATCTCAGAACGACACCGAACAAAAGAGAACTCGATCGCGATGATCGTATCGTATGCCTGCTACCAGAATTGAACTGGCGGCCTCATCATCTCGTGGGGATTCCAGGAGGTACTAGTGATGCGCTCTACCACTGAGCTAAGCAGGCTTCGTATGTGGGATGGTGGATAGGTGCCCGAGTCAGTGAATATGTATGGAGAGTCAGTCTGGCTGGGCGGCGGGATTTCGACACTTCGGCCCATGGCACAACGAGACGACGAGACGAGTCGGGAAGAGAGAGCATGGCCGTGGTTGGAGTGGACGGTATGGGCAAGGACGGTAGGAAGAATAACGAGAGGCGGGCAAGGGAGGGAGAGAAAGGAGAATCCGAAAGGTCGGACACAACAGAGAGAGAGCTAGGTCAAACGGTAGCACTTGTTACCGTCGAATGATGACAACTTTTTTGTTCTATGTCTGGTATATACTATGTTCGATGAACCCGCTCCCAACACTATACTATGAAACACAGCAATTCTATTTTGTGGCACCCAACAAGATACATGAAGACGCGAAAGCAAGGAATCCCAGCGATTTCTACCTCGGCTCGGGCTTCTAGCCTTCCAAGAAGGCATCACTCCTGGCCCTTGCCTTGGCCTCATCTTGCTCCGGTTGCGTCCGGTTGGCAATCAACCTCTGCAGAATAACGTCAGCGACATTCCACAGCATATCGATCAGCAGGAGTACTGTAACTTACCACCAAGTTCCTCAACAGACACGCAATAGTAACTTTGCCCACGCTGGGGATATATATACTCGCCTTCTCCTTCACCGCGGGGCCATCGAAGTTCCTGAAACTCGAGAAGTTGATGCAAACCGCTCCATCATGGATCAGCTCCGTGGGCACCTTGAACTTGTCGCTCGGGACACCGCCAATAACGACATCACACAAAGGCAGAACCTGCTCCAGACCCCAGCCCTCCTTCTCGTGCACTTGGTGGCGCGGCTGCTTAATACCCTGACCGCGAGTAAACACCTGCACACCCGTGAGATCGACGCTGTAGACGGTGGCACCGTCGTTGGCCAACAGGGCCGCCAGCGGCCGTCCGTTGACCTCGCTGCGGTTGATGACGCAGATGGTCTTGCCGAAGAGACGGTTGCCGTACGCCAAAATGGGGTTGTAGATGCTCAGATACTCGAGGATCTTGACCACAGCCAGCGGGGTGCAAGGCAGGAGAGACTTCTTGGTGTTGGCGGGCGGGTCGAGGAAGCGGACGTTGTGGTACATGTTGTACAGGTGCTTGTGGCACAGACCCTCGACGTCCTTGGAGAGGGAGACGGTCTCCTGGATGTACTTGTCGTGCTGCACGTTGCCGGGGAAGATGGGGTAGTAGACGATGATACCGTCTACGGAATCGTCGTCGTTGGCCGCCATTATGGCTTCCTCTAGGGTCTCCTTGTCGGAGATGCGCAGGTCAAAGGTGAAGCCGTTCTCTTCGCACGTCTTCTTGGACCACTCGGCGTACTGCATTGCTGCCGGGTCGTCGTTCGCTAGGAAGGCGGCCAGGGTGGGCTTGACGGCATCTTTGGCTTGGATGCTGGCTAGGGTGTCTTTGACTTCTTGGAGGAGGGTCTTTGCGATTGTGTCTGCCAGAATGACCTTGCAGGTCTTGGGGGTTGCTGAGGAGGACATGGTGAGTGAGAAGTGCCGGTTGGCCTTCACACAGTAGTGAGCTGGTTTGAGATGCCGGACTTGTCTGAAGATGGTGTTAGTGATTGTCGTCCTCATGGGCCTCAGATTGGGTTGTTATGTGACCAAGATGGCTCATGAAGGGGCTCATATTGTATGCTCATCAAGAGAGTTATGACACTGAGTTGCATGAGTGACTTACAGAAAGTGCCCCTCGGACTTTCTTCCTTTGCTCCACTGAAAAGTGCAGACTGAGAATGTAAGATGCGAATGACCACTGAAGTTCAACACTGAGGTAAGCGGTGGAATATCCAGTGAATGACCTTCAGACTGTAACAGAGAGGTCTTAGAGGTAACAGGATGGCTATCCGGGTTCAATTGACTTGTTTGTTCTTCCGGAGACCGGAGGAAAGGGCGCTCTTAAAATAAAGGCAATGACTCGGCCGGCATTCACTCCAGATGCTGTCGCAAAATTTGTGAGAGACCTCAAAAAGATGCCTCACCCCCAATGTAGTATGGCGCTGCGTGCATTCACTCGATAAGCAGCGTTATCGGACTCTTCCGTCATCCAGTTCACTTTATTTTGTTTGGAGGGGCAGCGCATTCGGAATGCATCCCGCAATTGTCACCACCATTATTCATTCACCTCACCCTTGCAGCTTTGAAGCTATCGCCAAATTCAAAGCTGCGCCGCGCACAACCACGACACAGCTTCATTCTGACTTTGCCTCTGAGTGTTCCAACAGCTTCAACAAGCTTCCTGAACACCAGCGAATAATACGAGTTCCCACCCTTTCTGCAGCCCCGCGCGCGGGTCTGCGACCTCTTCGGCCACACCAGCCATGGCGAGCTTTGACGAGCTCGCACTCCAGTACGTGGTATTGGACGATGAGGAAGTAATGCGGGACATGGCGGCCCAGGCTGCTAAAGGTTTGTTATGCCACCTTTGCTGGTCTCAGCTTTGATTTCTACTCTTTTAATGCCTTGCGGATATGCAACTGTTGGGCAAATCCCTCTTCCCACTCTAATTCCTCAAACCACTTCGAGTTTTGCAGAATTGCTAACGAACATCAATCGCAGCTATCGAAGATGCCGGCGCAAACCGCATTGCCGTTGGAAACTGGGCCGCATCCATCAAGCTCTGGATTGCCCCGGGCCTCAAGGAAGACCAGGACGGAGAGAGCGGAAACGCCATTACCCGGGCCAAGGCCATCAGCTTCCTGGCCACGACCCTCGAACTGCTCAATAAGGATCTTCTGAAGGCCGACCAGGTTGACCTGCTCATCGGCTTCTTTGGGTCCATGTTCAGCAACGACCACAAAGCTGGCATCACACCGGCAGCGAAGGCCCTTCAACAACTTGCCACTGCTAAGAACTTCAAGCCACAGATGGGCGTCAAGATTGTTGAGGAGGTCACCAAGATTAAGGAAGACTTCCGCCTGCAGACGGCAGCTACCCGTCTCGAGGTCTACCAGCTGTTGCTGCGCCTCATCCAGGACTCGGCAGTTGCTTCCGAGCTTGAACACAAGTACGGAGCGTCGAGCGGCTTCATCGTCGATCTACTCAGCATGTGCCAGCATGAGCGCGATCCCAGGGACCTGCTGGTCTGGTTCAAGATCATATCGGTCTTGGTGTCTCAGTACTCGCCATCAGAGGAAGTTGTCGCTGAGATCTTCAAGGCCTTTGCCAACTACTTCCCCATCACACTTCGGGAATCAACCACACAGATAGGCGTCACGGCAGAGGATCTTAAGGCCTCGCTACGGGAATGTTTCTCGTCACACCAGCGCCTTGCTTACCTCGCCTTCCCATATCTGATTCAAAGGCTTGACCAGGGTGATTCAATGAAGGTCACTGTCAAGGTATATTAAACATCATCACATGCACTAGGCCTACGAGGACGCTAACAGTTGCAGAACGATATTCTCATGACCATGAAGGCTTGCATTGACAACTACAGAAATCCCCAGGCCTCGGTCATTCCGTACATCCCTTCGATATGGAACTCGCTTAAGTACGAGGTCCGCAACGGGGAGGTAGCAGAGACGGTCGAATCCGCCACTCTAGTACTCCGCGCCGTCGGTGTCGTGCTACAAAACGATCCCGTACAGCTTAACGATTATGTCCATCTGGTCTTCAGAGACTCCTTGGAGGACCTTGGTGAGCCAAACTATGCCAAGCAGGCTGGGCAGCTCTGTCTGGCGGTTATCAGCTCCAGCCCTCAGGCCTTTGTCCCGCACAGCCGGAAGCTGGTTGACTCGGTGATTCAGCAGATCCCTCAGTTCGGTTCAGCAACCTATGCCACCTACACCAGAGATCTCTTGGACCTTCTCAAGTCGATTCTCAGGGCCAGACATGCCTTGGTGCAGTTCGAACCCGATCATAAGGACCTCCTGGCAGCAGAGTCCGCCGCTCACTTTCAAACGCTGTTTCACAAGGTCTATCTGCCGATATGGCATAACAACATCACTAGTGAGTCCGGCCCTGAGCTTAATCTGCTTCGTGAGGTTACAAGCGGTGTTGCTCTGTTGGCGAAGCAGCAGATTGCCACCTCTGACGGACAGAGAGCACTCCTGTGCTCCACCGACGTCTTCAGGGAGATATGCTCCCTCTTCACACAGCGACTTCTTATGCCGCTCACTCTAAGCCGTCGAGATGCTGTGGCGTTGAATGTGGATGCACCTATCGGCCTTGAAGAAGCACTCGCTGTCATCATGTCTCACTACATCGAGGGCTTCCAGACGCTGGTGGCCACCACTACCGAGGCAATCCTGGACCGTCAAAATGTCTGGTCCGACACCTCGAGGTGTATTGACTTGTGGACTGTCATCAGTGCGGTGTCGTACGTAGGCTGCTCTCTTCTCCCTGACGAGATAGCTCTCACTTCAGGCGCGAAGAAGTATTCCTCTTTGCACCACTTCATGGTTTGGACTGGCGCCTTGCTTCAGCTCACAGAGGCTTTCTTGACTGGAGGATCTGCTCCGCGGCCTGTGAGGTTTTTGGTGGGCGGCCTGCAGCACGCAATGTGCACGTTCCAGGAAGCTTGCGAAGCCGAAACGAAGCAGCTAAACCTGCTCTCAGACGGCACAGACTCCCTCGACTGGGCCAGGGAGTTCAAGAAGATCACTGCTGGCGCAGATATTCCGACTGAGTGGCGTCACGTGCTTGCGTCCCGCTATCCTGACATCTATGACCAGCTTCGGCAGGGAACAACGGAGGGCTCGCAGTCCGCCCCTCCCAGCGACGAAGGCACCTACGCCAACTTCATTCGCTTGAGCCTCTTCATCATCCGCCACATGTGCCGTCGGCTGACGAAGCAGAGCCAGGGCGATGATGGTAAGACCCGGTTGTATCTTGCGGACGACATCATGGCGTATCCCGAGAAGCGTCGCACACCAATTCTCACACAAGTCGAGCGAATGGGCCCAATGATCATCCAGGCCCTGGATGCGGCCTCCCAGCAATACTACAGTCTTTCAACC